TTTTTTTTTTTGTTTCTAATATGGCTGATACATTTCCCAAATGGGATTATATTGGATGGGAGAAAAATGTAGTTTGCAATCAAAGCAGTTATTCATAACCAAGTCTTGCTGATATGAAATGCATATCAAACCTGGTTTCTCTTTCCCATACCACTGTGCCTTTATTTGGGCCTCTTACCTATCTATTGCCATGGCCTCCAACTGCTCTCCCTTGCCTCCACAAATGTCTCACTCTATCTCATCCTTCACAATTAGTAGAATTACCTTCCTGAAATAATTAAACTTGTAACATCACCAGTCTAAAACTGAGAAGATAAAACTCAAACACCTTAGCTCTGTATGTCCCCATTTTTTGTTTCAACCTCATTTCCTGCTTCATACTCACCATGTATTCTTTGCTTCTACCATGCTGGATTTCTTTATATCCTTAGAATATGCCAGAAATTTTGATTAGAGCCTTTGCTAACCCAAATGGTAATTTTGTGCAAATCAGAAAAAAGTATCACTATCTCAAGTTCTTTTACTGTTATCTGCCAGAAAATTCTTCTAATAAATGTTAAAATCTTGAATGACCATGATGCAAACAATTTAGGCAATGCTGAACTTCCACGATCATGCACAGCATCCCCGCCTTACTCCACTCTTTGCTTTTGTAAATCTGTTTATTCGTATAGAATACTCTTCCCCTTCTTGCTTTGGCAAATACATACTCACTTTTCTCAAATGCTAGCTCAAAACTTACTGTTTCAAAACTGTATTCTGACCTCCACTTGACAATGGTTGCTGTTTCATAACATCTTGGTTCATATCTCTGTATGTCTTCCTACTTAATATTATATATTTATTTTATCATATCGCTTTCTCACTAAACTGAGTTCCTCAAGAACAGTCATCTTTAATTATATCTGTGTTTCCAGCCTCTGATGTACTAAATACTAGGCATAAAGTAAGAATAATAAATAATAAGGAAACAAAATCGTGGAGTTGACTATTCAACATATCAGATCGTATCTTTCCTAGCTCTGAATTTATGCCCTCAGTACAGATACTATGCAATATATTTATGTTGTGATATTTAGAAAATTAGTGTTATTCTGGAAATATAACCATTTTATCTCTGGGCCATGTCTTATATAATTAGTTGCCCTCCATATTTCAGCTCCATAATCTTCTTCATTATTATTTATGTCCCAATTGGCAGCGTGAGTTATGTCCTGATAGTCAAATGCTTTTGGAATTTCTGGTATGGATCAGGCAGTACATACAGTGTTCCCATTCTCCTCTTGTGTCACATGATTTAATATCTATTTGTATGCATCACTCTTTGGCTAGCCTTTGTTGCTCCAGATTCCATAGATTAAAGGGAATGTTCTTGACTCACGTGACAAATGTAGTCAAGTCTTTTATCATGAATGCCCAAGGGTCCAAAGGAATTTTAAATTTTATCAGAGATAATAGGCCTTTACAAACCTCTGCCTATAGAAGCATTTTGATATTCGTATATGAAAATACCAATCACTGCCAACAAATACTTCTGTAGCAGAGGTTTGTAAAGTATATGGCATATACCTTTGAAAATATGGTGTGTGAAAATTTGCTTCTTTGAAATAAATTAGTCTCACTATTTAGAGGTAGTGTACTTTGTTTTTTGTTTTTGATAACTTTCATATATTCCACATTTTAAAATATTTTTATATGTTTGGAAATGTTTATTAGGTAAGTACAATATGTTTGTATTAATTAATATTAGGCCTATTCAGGGGAAGAAACAACTGGTTACTTTTCAAATATTTAATGCATTTTAAAAATTAAAAATTTAAAGTGTATTTTCAACTTGTGCTAAATGCTATGATAATACTTTAAGTTAACTCTTGTAAACCTAACATGAATAACTATGTGAAGTTGGAATTATGCTTCCCATATAAAAGATAAGAGAACTACATCTCAGATTTAGCAGTTTTCCCACAGTGGACACAGCTTTAAAATAACAGGCTGGGTTTCAATGTGAGGTCTATCTGACTCCAAGGTACCTATTCTTATGCACTAAGCTTTTTATATTTAAATCAGATATTTCAGGTCAAACATTAGTTTTCAATTTTTTTGTGGTGTGTTATTATTTAATTGGTTAGACACATTGGTAATTATGATTTTTTTTAAGTCCGTTCAGCAGAGAAAGAGCCTTATGTGTTTTCACAATATCAGTTTGCAATAGCTTGGTATGCGTTAGTGTGAAGGTAATAGAAAATCTAAAATGTCAATCCTTTTCAAAGCTGCATTATAAATTACTTTATAAAAGTAGTATTGCTAATACTTAGAAAAGGAATTAAAAGTAAGGTTGTAACTCTATACAGAAGTCTACAGAAGTCAGTGAGGGAAGAGATGTGTTCTAAAAATTTGTGTGACTCCAACTAGAGGGATACAGTGCTACATTTGAACAAAAGAAATAGGCTAATAAGAAAAGATAGGGTAATTTCCAGAGACAACCAGATACATGCTGGATAAAATGACCTCTAATTAATTGCCTGAGTAATTTCCTACCTTTATACACATAATTTCACATTAGAAAATCCAACTTCTCTAATTAATTTTTTTTTCTTAAGGATTCCTTCGAGAGATTGGGGAAAAAAAGGTACTTACAGACTCAAGATTTTGCATAAACATAATGGAGTCCTTGGCAGTCTGGGATCTGTTTGGGATAAATGTACAATTTGCTTCATACAGCCCCGTCTTTGAGTCACGTCTGCATGGTCGTGTTATGCAGCTGCTCTTCTTGCAGTTTCGAACCACGTTAGCACCAGTAATATGAGTGGAACATCTACAAAGAAAGAATTAGATTATATATATGCATATATATATATATGTGTGTGTATAAAATCTATGTATATATATCTATGTGTGGGTGTATGTATATATATATGAAAGTTCATGGCAAATCATGAATGAAGACCAATATTCTAAAATCTTTCCTTCGGTGACAACTGCCATAGATCATGTACCAAACATTACATCTTGACAATAACAGGCACAATATTCTATCTCAATTTTTCATCAATTTCAATAGAAACAATGTCAGTTCATATTTATTAAACATTGATTGGTCATTGTGATCAATAAATCTATTATCCTTGTGACTTTGAGCTAAAGATGATAATTCCTAATCATAGGGATGTTGTAAAGATTAGGTGAGTTAAAAGGTACAGCAGAATTTCTTATTAATAGGGAAGGGAAAGTCAATATTATGCTTAAAACCCTCTTCAATTTCCATATGTGGTATTCACTGTTTTGTGTTTATAGCATTTTGTAATTTATATTTTGAGAACTACTTCATTAAACTGGTGGAACAAATGAAAATGAACCCTGCATGGAAAGGCTTGTGCATTCAAACCATTTGGTCTTTGCAGTAAAATATGTCAAGTTCCTGGCAGGGAAAGAGGGCCAGAATAGAGGGAAAGGATTCTAAAAGGTTCTGGTTATATGCACAATATCCTCCCATTTTGTGTTAATATTAAACTTCATAACATTAATCCATTTTAATGAGTTTGTATTGCAAGGATTTAGGGACATGGTGAGTCATGTCTTCCCAGAGGGTTAGTTCTTGAGTAAGCCTAAAAATTAAACTTACGTATGATGAGACTCCACTGCCTGAAAGTGCCTGACACACAGTAGGAGCTCAATAAATGTTTTAGGTGCTTGTTTTTACTAATTATCTATTTTTTGACTGATTATAAGGAAACATTTATTTTTCATGAATTTATAAAAAATTTGTTATTTGATACCTTCTTTGTTTAGGTTTTACTTTATGCCAGGTCAAAGACCAGAGGATTAAAAAAATGTGCAGTTCTTAAGAATTTTAAAGTCTAATGGGGAAAATAAAATTGTATAGACAATTGCTGCGCAGTGACAGAAGTGTGAGAGAAGCCCACATATGCTGTGAGAGCACTCTTAAGGGAATTTAAACCCAAATGAAGGGAGAGGAAAGATGGTTAAGTAAGAAATATTTAAACTGAGTCTTAAAGGATGAACAGGCATTATTTGAGTAAGGGAGGAGTTGTGTGGGATGAGGTTGAGAGAAATGAGTGCCCTACACTGAGAGAAACCCAGTCTGTGTGAAGAACTCCAGGCAGCTCAGCAGAGATCAAACGAACAACACAGTGGAGACGAGGGGCATTTTTTCCAATACCCCTCTTTCCTTGAATACATTTTTTTTTTAATCTCAAAGACTTCTTATTTCCTATTACATTAACTTCCGTTGTTCTTCAATATTCTTTAAATATTCCATGTGCTTGATATTTTTAACTAACTTTAAATATCTCATCTATTCATAATAGTGCCTGTAGCACCTAGAATTATATTTTTTTGAAAATCTATTTACTACCATGTCTTTATGAAAAGTACTTTCTTTTCTTTAAGATCAAGATTAAATGAAAAGTATAATATTATATTTACAAAGAAGCTCTAGCAGCTTAACTGATTTCAGTGAAACAGATTTATCTTAAAAAGTGATGAATCAAGTGAAACAAGAGTGGGTAGGGTTGAACACCTATTTTCAGATATCTTAGGGTTTAGCCTACAGCTTTTTCCTTTCTCCTCTGCCCATAACATGTTTTAGCATGGTCCCTGTGAATACTGAAATTATTTTCTGTTTCTGATTGATCTTGATGCCAAGGTAGAATCTCTAGAATTAATTGGAGACATACATGATGGGGCAGGTTGGATATTGCAATGAACTGCATAAACATTCTCAGGTAGTTACCTGAGATAGCCTTTGTTTGCCTAGCATAGAAAATTAATGAAACATAAGTAAAAAATTTTGAAAACAGATTTGTTCAATATAATGATACCTTGTTGCTTCAATGGTGTTTCTTCTGGAAATATAGAATGGCCGGTCCTCATTATACTCATCAAATATTCCCCACCGGAGATGGGCCCACTCATGGACAAATACTCTGCCTGTGAGAAATACTGCCATTTGTAAATTTATATTACAATATTTTAAGACAATTTTCTTATATTTCTCTTTAACCTCTCCCCAACCTAATTGAGTCAAGGTACTCCAGACATTGATGCCTTTTATTAGGTCAAAAAAGTTGAAATAAGTTAGTGCCAATAAATGACTCATTTTGTTTACACACACACACACACACACACACACACACACACACCCTACACACACAGAGATATAATTAAGAACGTAACTAGCATATTTTCAAGTAAAGATATTATTTAGTACCTATTTTTCTCTTCTTAATTTTGTTTTCTTAAATGATGGGATCTTGTTCTTGCTCTGTTGCCCAGGTTGGAATACAGCGGCTTGATCATAGCTCACTGCAGCCTCAGCTTCTAGCCTCAAGCAATCTCTGCATCAACCTCTTAAGTAGCTGGGACTACAGGTATGAGCTACAATGCCTGGATAGTTTTTAAAATTTACTTTTAGCTTTTTAGAGACTGGGGACTCTACTCTTGTCCAGGCTGGTCTCTAACTCCTGAGCTCAAGTGATCCTCCTACCTCAGTCTCCTGAGTTGCTGGGATAAGTGTCAGCCACTGTGCCTGGCTTCTTTAAAAATTGTTTAAAATACCATTAAACATAGTGTTCTTTTTTTCACCAGTGTAAATAAGAACAGAAGCACATCACAGATATCTCTACCTCGAGGCCCATAGATAGGCAAATTATTATTCAACAAGAAGTTTGGAGTAAAATGTATATATTGTCCTTTTTCTCCACATTGTCCATATTGAAGTGTATAGGGATCATCTCCATATTTCAGGTAAGGATCAGCAACTATGACATCTGCCTAGAAAGCAAAAGAACAAACAAAAACAAATTTCAAGAGGAACAGAAACAAGAGATTTTAGAAACAAGGACTTCTATTCATATACATTAAGAAAACTTGTATTACTAATTTAATTACTAAATTAGTGATTAGTAATCAATAAAGAATTACAAATACTGAGTTTTTAAAAGCACAGGAGGAAAGAAGCAGTTTAGGAGTTAGATGAAATAGCCTACCTGGTCATATGATTCTTGTTTTGGCATTAAGTACTCAGGCTTTGATTTCCAGGTCATTGGAATTAAAATGCTTACATTCCTGAAATAAGCTCTTCGTTTGGTAGCATAAAACAGATAAGTAGAAGCTTCAGTTACCATTGCCTGACAAAATTTAAAATACCTTGTGGTAATAATTTCACAGTGAAATGAACATAAAAGTATATATATAACTAGATGAAGCAAATCTAAGCCTCCTTTCCTCAAACATTTTGGGAAAACTAACTGAAAACAGCTTGAATTTTTTTCTGTATCTCTGCAGTCTGTAAACTTCTTATTTTCACATGCTTAAAAACTATCTTTTAAAATGTTTTACCTATCCAGGCCTGCATTCAGCATGATGGGTTGGAGATAGAAATGAGGGTGCTGGGTGAGATGTCAAAGTGATTAAGACTGGGAACCTGTTAATATTAATAACAAAGATTGTAAAGTTGTTTATTTAATCAAACAGAGGTGTTTCTGATTGTTTAAAGAAATTGAGAGTTTAAAGTTTGGTAGATTATTATAATTGATGTTAACTGAAAAAAAATTTTGCTAGATTTATTTTGAGTTATCTTCTCTGATGGAGTGTGTTCATAAAAGGCGAAATTTTACCAAGTAGAAATGAAAATAGAAATACATAGGTCTCATTGGCTTCAGGTCCCAGTTTCGCCACTTATTGTGAGATTGTACAAATCACTTCATTTATACAAGGGTAATAATTCTTGTTTTTGAATTCCCGTAGAGATATTGGGAGGACCAAAGAAGATAGTATATATTAGAGTGATATGTACAAAGTGTTTTTTATTATACTGAAAATGCAAATAATGAAGGTGTATTAATTTAAAATGTATCATATCTTATTTAAAATAAGATAGATATTATTTTTTACTTTTCCAGAGTTTGAACAAGTATGAAAAACTGAAAAAAATGTGTAGGATAAAACTCTAGGGCTTAAGTGTAGACTATTTAGCTGAACGTTATAAAAGCAACTTTATAAAAATAAAATTTGACAATAATTTTCTACTTGCTGTAATGTCTTTCTGTTAGCTTAACTAGTTGAAAAAATATTAGGTCAGCCTTTTAATGATTCATTGGGAAATGACCAATAGTATTAACATGTAATAAAAACATATTTAAACTAAGCAGGTATTAATCTTACAGTTTAGAGAAATACTATATAAATGATAACTACTGTTGAAGCAATTTTGGAAAGTTATCACTCTATGAATGTATTTAACAAGGCACCATGAGTTGAAAATACTTATTGAAATAAAAATATGTGGATAATAAATATTTCTCTTACCTTTATGTTTTGAATGAGTTTTTCATCTTCTGGTACACTGGGATTAATTGCAATGACAATGCCATCATATCCGTTGTTATTTAAAGTTACCCGAGAGCTTTTCAAAACAGGAAAGAGAAGCAAAGATAGGAAGAGAATCACCTTCAGACCGAACACCATTTTTGCACATGGTACAATAAACCTTTTGGAAATGTACAAATGGTATTTATATATCTCTTAACTCAGGAATTTGCATTAAGACCAAAATATTTGCATAAAGATAGCATAGTAAATTACTGAAATATCTTAGCGAACTTCCTTATCTTACTCACTCTAAAGATTTAGTTGTTAAGTATCAAAGGGGATTATGCTGAACACATTTATCATACTTTCCAAGAGAGCTGAGTCAGTAAGTATTCAATGAATTGAATAATTCTTTTAGATTGTGTAGTTGCCATCATAGCAGTGGGAGATCATCATTGAAAGCTTAATTGAAGCTTTTATCATTACCATCAAATAGTATTAGAGATGTAAATCCTGGGATTTGTTTATTAAGAAGTATAATCTGGAGGGATGAGGAACTGAAATTAAAGGAACCAGGAAAAAGTAGATTAAAAAAGGATAAAGGGAATTGAGTAGGAGTGACAGCATATTAAGGGTATATATTTATTCTTCCTGGGAGTAATAAAAGCACAGTGGTTGAGAACAGCTAAGGGGAATTTTATTTTTATCTTTTGCAATAACTACTTGTATATTTATTTCAGACTTGAAATAGCACTGAATGTTCTTCATATGTGGATAACTGATACTTAATATGCTCCAATTAAGCTTTCTTTTTTGGATTGAACACAAATCTTCCTTAGCTTGGGAAAGTTCTACTCATAGCATTGTTAGCTGGCTCTGCAGTCAGATACATGTAAACCTGATTCTTGCCTTGGTCACTCAACAATCAAGTTATTCTTTGTAAGAGTTGTGTGGCTCTTTTTTAGGCCTAATTTCTTTTCTGTGATATCAGACTAATTATGGGATGTTGGAAGAATTAAATGAGATAATACATGGAAAATACTCCATAAAAGATTTCTGACACCTATTAAGTACTCAAGACATATTATCTATTAATATTAAGCATTTTATATTATGAATAAAAAACTTGCTATAAATTTTTGCCAATTAAATTCTATGTTTTCATTGCTTTTTTTAAATAAAACTTTTCAATATAGTCTTCCAGTGTTTAATTGGGGAATGAACTTGCCTGAGCTTGCCTGAGATTAGAGGAAAAACTGTCCGAATGAAACTATAGCCTTTTAAAAATGCTCTTGATTATCTCCATCTATCTTGACAGTATCCTATCCATATTGATTCAGTTTAGGTGTGGCCTTTCTGTAAAATCTTCCCAAATCATTCGCACTACACGTAATCTTACTTCCTTTGAACTTGTTTGAACCAGTATATTTATGTACTACCTGTATTGCATTTGTTATTATTAATATACATAGTATACCTCCTATTAGATTGTAAACTCTTCTTTGGAAGGAAGAGATTTTTTTTGGAGTGTAACCTATCAATCTCAATTTCATTAACTGTTATATGAGGACAGTAATAGCTATCTAGAAGAAATGTTGTGAAGGTTAAATGAAATAACATGTGGGAAAGCACCCATTATAAGTGCCGGTACATAACCCTCAACAAGTTTATTCTTTGCTTTTTCTTATTCTTTATAATTCATATGAAAAAATATGTGAGTGCTTCTAGGTTCCAGACCCAGTGGTCTGCTCTTTAGAGAGTACTGAAATGAGTAAAACACAGTCACTGCCTCCAAAGAACTTGAGGATTTGTTGCATAGATTAGATTAGAATACAAAAGATTAAAATAGAAGATAAAGTAAGAGAAAATTCTAGAAGAGAGTTACAAACACAGTGCTAGGAAGCCAAAAGTTGGGAAATAATTTTTCTTTTTTTTTTTAAAAAAATTTTATTTCCATGGGTTTTTGTGGAGTAGGTGGTATTTGGTTACATGAGTAAGTTATTTAGTGGTGATTTGTGAGATTTAGGTGTACCCATTACTTGAACAGTATACGCTGAGCCCAACTTGTAGTCTTTTATCCCTCACCCTCTTCCCACCCTTTCCCCTGAGTCCCCAAAGTTCATTGTGTCATTCTTATGCCTTTGCATCCTCATAGCTTAGCTCCCACTTACGAGTGGGAACATACCTTGTTTGGTTTTCTATTCCTGAGTTACTTCACTTTGAATAATAGTCTTCAATCCCATCTAGGTGGCTGCCAATGCCATTAATTCCTTCCTTCCTATGGTTGAGTTGTGTTACATCATACATCTATACCATATTTCCTTTACCCACTCATTGATTGATGGGCATTTTGGTTGGTTCCACATTTTTGCAATTGTGAATTGTGCTGCTGTAAACGTGTGCAAGTATCTTTTTCATATAATGACTTCTTTTCCTCTGGGTACTCAGTATTGGGATCACTGGATAAAATGGTAGTTCTTTTTTTTTTTTTTAAGATGGAGTTTTGCTCTGTTACCCAAACTGGAGTGAAATGGCATGATATCAGCTCACTGCAACCTCTGCCTCCCAATTTTAAGTGAATCTCCTGCCTCAGCCTCCTGAGTAGCTGGGATTACAGGTGTCTGCCGCCATGCCCAGCTAATTTTTGTATTTTTAGTAGAGATGGGGGTTTACCATGTTGGCCAGGTTGGTCTTGAACTCCTGACCTCAGATGATCCGCCTGCCTCGGCTTCCCAAAGTGCTGGGATTATAGGCATAAGCCACCATGCCTGGCCAATGATACTTCTACTGTTAGTTTTCAAAGGAATCTTCACATTGCTTTGTACTAGTTTACAAAACTAGTACTAATGGTTGTACTAGTTTACATTCCACCAGCAGTGTAGAACTGTTCCCTTTTCATCGCATCCATGCCCACATCTATTATTTTTTGATTTTTGATTATAGCTATTCTTGCAGGAGTAAGGTGGTATCATATTTTGGTTTTGACTTGCATCTCCCTGATCGTTAGTGATGTTGAGCAGTTTTGCATATGTTTGTTGGTCATTTGTATATCTTCTTTTGAGAATTGTCTATTCATGCTCCTTAGCACACTATTTGATGGGATTGTTTTTTTCTTGCTAGTTTGTTTGAGTTCATTGTAGGTTCTAGATATTAGTCCTTTGTCAGATGTATAGATGGTGAATTTTTCTCTCACTCTGTGGGTTGTCTGTTTACTCTGCTGACTGTTCCTTTTGTGTTGAAAAAGCTCTTTAGTTTAAGTCCCTGCTATTTATATTTGTTTTCATTGTATTTGCTTTTGGGTTCTTTGTCATGAAATCCTTGCCTAAGCCAATGTCTAGAGGGGTTTTCTGATGTAACCTTCTAGAATTTTTATAGTTTCAGGTCTTAGATTTAAGTCCTTGATTCATCTTGAGTTGATTTTTGTATAAGGTGAGAGAAGAGGATCCAGTTTCATTCTCCTACATTTGGCTTGCCAGTTATCCCAGCACCATTTGCTGAATAGGGTGTCCTATCCCTACATTATCTTTTTGTTTGCTTTGTTGAAGATCAGTTGACTGTAGGTATTTGGGTTTATTTCTGGGTTCTTTATTCTGTTCCATTGGTCTATGTGCCTATTTTTATAAGAGTACCATGCTGTTTTGGTGACTATGGTCTTACAGTATAGTTTGAAATCAGATAATGTGATGCTTCAGATTTGTTCTTTTTGTTTAGTTTTGCTTTGGCTATGTGAGCTCTTTTTTGTTCCATGTGAATTTCAGGATTGCATTTTCCAGTTCTGTGAAAAATGATGGTGATCTTTTGCTGGGAATTGCATTAAATTTGTAGATTGATTTTGGCAGTATGGTTATCTTCACAGTATTCATTCTACCCATCCATGAGCAGGGCATGTGTTTCCATTTGTTTGCATCATTTATGATTTCTTTCAGCAGTGTTTTTGTATTTTTACTGGTAGAGGTGTTTCACTTCCTTGGTTAGGTATATTCCTAAGTATTTTATTTTATTTTATTTTTTTGAAGCTATTGTAAAAGGAGTTGAGTTTGTGATTTGATTCTCAGCTTGGTCACTGTTGATGTATAGGAGAGCTACTGATTTGTGTAGATTAACTTTGTATCCTGAAAGTTTGCTGAATTCTTATATCAGTTCTAAGAGCATTTTGGAGGAGTCTTTAGGGTTTTCTAGGTTTACAATCATATCATCAGCAAACAGCAACTGTTTGACTTCCTCTTTACTGATTTGGATGTCTTTTATTTATTTCTCTTGTCTGATTGCTCTGGCTAATACCTCCATGTTGAATAGAAGTGGTGAGAGTGGACATCCTTATCTTGTTCCAGTTTTCAGAGTGAATGATTTCAACTTTTCCCCATTCAGCTATATACTGGCCGTGGGTTTGTCATAGATGGTTTTTATTACATTGAGATATGTCCCTTGTATGCTGATTTTGCTGAGAGTTTTAATCATAAAGAGATGCTGGATTTTGTCAAATGCTTTTTTTGTGTCTATTGAGATGATCGTGTGATTTTTGTTTTTAATCTTGTTTATGTGGTGTATCACATTTATTGACTTGCATATGTTAAACCATTTCTTCATCCCTGGTATGAAACTCACTTGATCATGGTGGATTATCTTTTTGATATGTTGTTGGATTCAGTTAGCTAGTATTTTGTTAAGGATTTTTGCATCTATGTTCATCAGGGATATTGATCTGTAGTTTCCATTTTTGGTTATGTTCTTTTCTGATTTTGGTATTAGGAAGATACTGGCTTCTTAGAATGCTGATGTCTTCAGCCATAGGGTGAATAGGGAAGGACCATCGGGTGGGTGCAGGGCTAGGTGTGTCTGAGCTCAGACTGTCCTTGAGCAGCTCTTGCTGTGGATGCTGTGGGGAATGGGTTTGTGGTTCTCAGGTCAATACAATGATGTTTCCAGGAGGATTATGGCTACCTCTTCTGTGTCACGCAGGTTGTCAGAGAAGTGGGGAAAAGCCAGCAGTCACAGGGTTCACCCAGCTCCCAAGCATCCCAGAAGGCTGGTCTCATTCCCATCATGACCCCCACCCCTACAAACAGTACCAAGTCTGTTTTCAGGCAGTGGGAGAGCAGGGTTGAGAACTTACCCCAGGTTACTAGCCTCCCATGTGTGAAAGCAAGCAGGGCTTT